AAAAAAAAAAAAAAAAATAAAAAAAAATTCTTCTTTTGTTTTCGATTTCTTTTCTTTCTCGAATAACTCACAATGATCATTGGTGGCGACTTATCATCATGGACACGACAGCACCGGTGGCGCGCAGAACGGCCACGGCGTTGTTGTGATCGGATTTGGTGAAGTCGATGCCGTCCACCTCCAGGATCTTGTCCCCCGGCCGAAGAGTGCCCTGAGCCGGACCGTCGGGATTCACCTTCGTCACGATTATTCCCTACGTCGAGAAGAACACACACACACACACACACACATACATACACATTTTTTTATTTCTCCACTGAACGAGAAGATAAAACAATGCAATTCTTTTTCAACTGACTTCGAATAAAATCCGCGAGAATCAAACGCAGTTGGACACGCGTGACAAAAACAACATAGAAAAATGAGGGAGTTCTCTCGGATACTCAAGGTTTAAAATCACAAGTGATATCGAGATAACGAACGGTCATTCAAAAAATGCTTCAGATATTATTGCAACAAGTAGCAAATTTTTTTTTTTACCGCCAATTGTCGGCGTAAAATAAATTTAAATCTCAATAATAGCAAAAATAATTGTTAAGTGACTTGTAATTTACTTACGGTTTCCGCGCCCGCTACGCCGCCAGCTATGCTGAAGCCGAGACCTGGGTTCTTCTTCACTTGAACAGGCAGCTATAAAAAAAAAAAAATTGAATGCACGGAGAAATCACATTGTATTCTTTTTTCTCGAATTTTTATTTCCTTCTTAATAAAGTAATACGTACCACATTAGCGTTTTTGTGCGGTCCGAACATCCACTTGAACTTCGGCTTCTTCTCCGGCGTCTCGTTTCTCGTCTCGTTGACACTCGCGTGTTCCTTGCAGTTGTCAACGTTGTCGCTCCGAGAGTTACTGTTCGCGTTGAGATTCGGCGTGTCTCGGCCGCCGCAGTTGGTCTCGCTTTTGGCGACAGCGGGATGCGCGACGCTCGATTCCTCGGCGACGCTCATCTCGACAGACGTAACGACGTTCGTTCGATCGACGTTCGCGTTGAGCAAACTGGTCGAGTTGATCTCGCACGAGTTGTTGTTCGATACATTCCCGTTCGTTAACTTTCTTGAGCGATCGAGCTTCACCGATGTCGACAACGGGCTCCGATACTTCTTCCCGGTGATCGGCGACGTGGGTATGCTGGAGTACGCGTTCGCTCTAACAACGTCGTCCGTCGAGGAGGAACTTTTCATCGCGTTCGTCTCGTTCAGATTGTCCGTGTGCTTTGTTCGAAGAACGGGAATTTTGCTCGGTTTGAAGTTCGCCCGATCGTTTTGCTCGGGACCAGCCAAGCCGGAATCGGGATTTGACGCGCAATTTCGATCCGCGATTGTCGTTCGTTGCTCGAGGGAATCCATCCGGCCGTTGTTCATCGAGTTGACGGAGTTCCGATTGCCCGGCACGGACGTGTAGTCCTCAACCTTCGAGTTTGTCTCCGCGTTGTTGTTTTGTTTTGGCGCGTCCGGAAACGCACCGGCCGAATTCAACGGAGAATTGTAAGGTGACGAAGACGGAGACAAGTACGGATCGGCCTCGGTCGCTGAAAGAATCAAGATTCGCATTGTACACGCGGCTTTTTCTCTGCGGTTACTATCTTGCAAATTAATAAAAATCATTAATTCCAAAAAAAAAAAAAAAAAAAAAAAAAAAAAAAAAAAAAAAAAAAAAACATACGTTTGTTTAACTGCTGGAAGAACGCGGCCTTCTTCGAGAACGCTGCCGCGATGTGGTACGGCGGCGGAACGGGCGGAACGTTCACCCGCGTTTGCTCCTCGTACTTGCCGCCGTCCGTCACGTCGACGGGCGTCGTCGTGGTTCTGTAGGGCTCGATGAACTTCTCGGACTCCACTATCTTCGCCGTGTTCGCCTTGGAGTACTCGTCCGGCTTCCACGTGGAGTTGACGTAATCGTCGACCGTCAACGCGCGCACAACGTAATCGGACGTGGGATTGCGGATGTACTTGGCCTCTCGGATGTCCGGGCTCTTCTCTTTCGCCAGAACGATCTTGTTCGCCTCGTCGGACGACTCCTCCGACACCGGGTACTCCGTCGCTCCGGATTCGACAGCTGATTTGTTGCTCTTGTGATTTTTCGCCGTGTGATAGTCAACAGAAAGTGCGGACGAGGACATATTCTGCGACAGAAGATGAAAAACACGCGTTAGCGGCACAACAAAACACACCAATCCGTAATTACACCGCATTGCTAATCAACTTGTTTGTTTAACATTAAAAAATCTCCATTTGAATTCTCTATTTTTTATACGACAAAATAAAAAAATGATTATAAAATTATCACGCTTACTTTTTGATCGATGATGGATGGGTGATGCAAGTTACGAGCGTGCTTGGCGAGATTGCGCAGCTCCTTGGGATAAGGGGTCGGTGCTCGATGAAGTTGCCTGGGGATCTCGGAATCTACCTCAGCAGCGAAACATATTCTCTTACCGGTTCCAATGATCGAACTCGAAATCGGTCGTCCTGCAGTCTGTGCTATCTCTATGAAAGTAAGCACAATGTTATTGTGATAAAAAAATTAATCATAGAAAAATATTCAATTTGTCAATAAATGCACTGTTTTTCAAAAATCTGATTGTATTTCTTAGTATTTAATTGATGCTACTTTTTTTTTATATGAAACCTCACCATTTCATTCCTCATCTTCCTGTTCTTCTTCTACTGTAGCAGCGTGAATATACATATACGCATTTAAATATTGTGAGCTTTTTATCGTTTTAATCTCGTATAAAAAAAATACAAACATCAAAGAAAGCATAGTGTAGACTGAGGAAGGGAACGTTTTCTTTTTGTGAGAGAAGAAACTGCGAGAGACGTGCGAACGATACTCACGCTCCAAATCCTGTCGCGGCTTCTGTGGCAGCATGAAGCAACTTAATACCATCATGTCCTCTTCGCAATTAAACTCTTGCTGCAGCGGCACCAACGGTTGGCTTTGATTGTCGCTCAGCCACAACGCCTTCAGATTGCTGAGATTCAGCATGGAAACCGGCAGGAACTTGATGCAATTGTTAACGAGATTGAGCACCCGAAGCGAGGAGAGGTGGCCCAGTTCCGGCGGCACGCGCGTCAAATTGTTCGATCGCAAGGAGAGCAGGGATAACGACGCGCAGCTACCGATCTCGGCCGGCAGCGCGCGCAAATAATTATTGTCCGCGTTGAGACAATGAAGCTTGCGCAGCAAGCCTATCGAAGACGGCAAGTACTCGAGAAAGTTCTTAGTGACTATAAGCTCCTCTAAGCTTGACATCTGGCCGATGTCGTTCGGCAGTGCGTTCAGTTGATTGTCGTCGATCTTGAGGGTGACAATCGTGCGCAGGTAACACATTGTGTCGGGCAACTCATACATCTCGTTCGAGGACAGATTCATGATCGCGATGTCGCGCCAACCGCGTACCTCCATCGGGAGCGCGTGTATCGCGTTCATCGTGCAATCGAAGTGATTCAGACGGTAAAGCTGCTCGACGTTAGCCGGAATACGCCTGATATCGTTGCCGTCGATCCACAGCTCCGTGAGATTAATGAGATCCCCAACGACTTCGGGCTGTTATAGGATGACACGTACAAATATATGATAATCGATAAGGGAATGAAATGAAATTGATAAGGGGATTTTTGGCTTACCAATTCAGTAAAGTCATTGTTGCCGATATCGAGCCTCTGCAAGTTTACCAAACGGCTCATACTTTTAGGCAACGTCATCATGTTGTTCTCTCGCAGCTCGAGCGTTCTCAAGGCTGACAATCGTCCGAAATTCGCCGGCAGGTACTCGATGTACGCGTCGTTTATGTAAAGCTCGCGCAAACCGACGATATGCGTTATAGCGTCCGGAAAACGTTCGAAGGGATTGACGCTGATGTCTATGGACCGAAGACTCTTGCATTCTTTTATACTGTCCGGCAACTCTTTTATACCTGCGAGAAAAGTCAATATATGTTAAATTTATCACACAAATCATCATTAGAACATAAAAGTTACAAAATATCTCAATTATGATGGGAAGGATTTGCGTCATGTGTTGTATACTGACTATTTTTGCTGAGATCTAAGTATTCCAAGTTGATTAATGATGCTATGGCGGGTGGTAATGTAGTAATTTCATTATCGCTAAGTGAAAGCACTCTCAACTCGTGGCACTGAAATAGCGGCCTGGGAAGATCCTTTATCTTACAGAAAAGATTTAAAAAAAAAAAAACAAAGCCATTAGATATAACATTGAGATATATTTATTTTTATTTCTGTGCAAAACAATATCGAGACACTTACTCTATTGGCATCGAGATATAACTTTTCCAATGTTCTTTCATAAATGAACACATCAGGTGGTACATCATAGAGATTACAGTGATTCAGTTGCAGCTCACAGATATCTTCTTCCTGAGCTCTCAAACACGCTGCGCACTGCCACCAAGCACTACCCATTTCATATGTGTGCAACACTACACAAAATATATAAATACATTTAAGAAATAACACTCACTTGTCATACTATAATATTTAACATAGAAAAGACAAGCTAAACAACTAAAACATCTTGCAGGTTTTTTTTTTAATTCAATTACACATATTTAAATCTTATCAGAGAGATGTGTTTAAATAACACAATTTAACTTTGGATATATATACATATATGATGTATATATATAGAATTAATCCATAAAATTACTCTATTGCTACAAAATGTATTAAATTACTTTCCATGTTAAAATAAATTTATGTATACGCCATAATTAGTTCCATAAAAAAAAAAAAAAAAACTGATAAAATCTCAATTTATCCCATAGAACGAATTCTGTCATCACCTGTGGGTCTCTCAGGAACGACCCGGTAAGGGCATCGACGCGCGCGGATGCCACGGTCCACCGTGTGACAGGTCTCTTCGCTCAGCGGAAACGTCGTCGCTGCCGACGATCATTCGCGAAAACGAGGAAGCTCGATGACAGGTCTCTTCTCCGATCTGGTTGTTGTATCACCGCGTCGCGCCGCGATCGCCGGCCGCAAGGCCGTGGATCGTCGCGTCGCACCCGGGAACCACCGCCGGCGTCGCCGGCATCGAGCAACGTTTCACGAAATGCACGTCGATAGCGAAGAAGAGGAAGGACGCGCGACGGCGTTGAGAAACGTCAAGAGATGTCACGTCGATTCACGTCAATCCGTCGTAGTTTCGCGTACGCCGTCGCCGTCGTCGTCGTCGCTCGTCTCACGCGCATATCTCACTCCTGCCTCATCGTGGCGACGTACGCGTTCTCGCACGCACGCCGACGACAGCCAGCTGTTGCTTCCTCCGGGACACCGTTTCGAGAGGACACCCAATTCGCCGATTCTGTTTTCCCCGATTGTCTCACACGAATTCCAAACGATCAAGATACACAGTAAATCCACGCCGCGGGAGAGGGAGAGAGACACAAATAGAGCGGGATCGTAGCTGCGGGGTGCAAACCAGGAGGTACAAACCCGAGAATGTTTAAATCCCTATTATGGTATCGCGCCAAGAATGCGCGGTGGCACATTCGTGACAATCGTGACACACAACACGGGGCGTTTTATTTTTTATTATACATTTGTAATATCAATTTAAATCATTTATTTAAAATGTAATATGTATAAAGAAAAAAAGACCGTATATTGTTTACAATAAAAAACAAATTTTCTTTTTCAAGAAAAAACAAAGTTCGAATAAATAGCTCAGAACTGTGCAGTCAATTTATAGATTTGTTTGTTTTCCCTGCACTGGCTGCACTAGAGTTCACAGTTTATCTTTTTTCATCCATCCTAGTGCATAGATTTTCTAGTGATTTGTATATTTGCACTGTTGTCTGCCGTTGTTTTTTTTTTTTTGTTTTTAGCAAAGAGAAAACACAATACATTGGTCTTTTTGTAGCCGCGAGTGATCGCCAAGTGAAACGCAGCGTGCTCTTTGTTGCTGCTGGCTGTGATTGTTATGACAGATCGAGTTATGATGAAAATGCACGTGTGAGATTGTATGTGGGTTTTAGCAAATGAGAAAAAAAAGAAAAGTAAACTTTGAATCGATCACTCGAGCAAAAATGCATTGTTTGGATTTGAAAAGCTGGCCGATATTCAGCCTGTTGGGGCCTGAATTTGTCTCCGGAATTCATATGGTTATGGTGTATGGTAAATTTCGTTCTCTTTTTTTCTTTCATTTTCAGATTGACGTTGTGTGTTACTAATGAGTTTTTTTTTTTTTACAACAGGAAACTTGGGCAATGAGGCTCTAATCGTCACGAAAAACAAAAAGGTGTTCGCTCTGGGTAACAATATTGCTGGTTGTTTGGGAACTGGTTGTGCCCACAGCACGCTGTATCCGAGAGAAGTGGAAGCCTTGTGCGATAAGGAAGTGAAAACGTTTGCCTGCGGCAGTGGACCTCACGTATTAGCACTTACTGAGAACGGAGAGGTAAAATTGCATGTTACAATAACAGAGAGATCGATAGATATTTTGTAATCACTAGAGTTACTCTTTGTAGAACATGAATAAATTTGGCATAGACTTACACCAAGTCGAATCAATTCTCTTCTTATCGCGCTTCAGTTTTGTGTGTTATTTTTTTATAACTTTGACACTCTCTCTCTCTCTCTTTTGTATTATAAATACAACGTGTGATAATCAACAATCTTGTCTCAAAAGGTATTTTCCTGGGGCCACAATGGCTATTGCGAATTGGGAAATGGCACTAGCAATCAGGGTGTTGTGCCCACGTTAGTGAACATGCCGACCACGGCGGACAATTCGAGGATGAAACGTGTCGTGGACATTGCGTGCGGTAGTCATCATTCTCTCGCTCTTACAGAAGAAGGCGAGGTAACTAGCAGTATAGAATGTAAGACAACAAAATAATTGTTCGATCATCGGAAGTCAGACGGGATCTTTGTGCAAACCTAGGTGTTTGCTTGGGGTCAAAATAACTGCGGGCAAGTTGGCAGCGGGCTCAGTTCGAATCAAGGAATACCGCGCCAGATAAACTCGAGCTTGGCCGGAAAGAAGATTGTCCAGGTCGCGTGCGGTCAAACCTCTAGTATAGCGGTAACCGATAACGGTGAGATATACGGATGGGGTTACAACGGTGTCGGCCAGTTGGGAATAGGCAATTACGTGAATCAAGTGAATCCGTGTCGAATCGGTTCGCTGTTGGGAATCGTAATAGGTAATTTCACTTTTTGACAGTTCGCTTCCGACTCGGTCACGAGCGCAATCGTCGAGCAATCGCAAAGTAAAATCTGACGATTTCCAGTTAAAGTAGTCTGCGGTTACGCGCACACGTTGGCGCTCACCGACGAGGGAAAACTCTACGTCTGGGGCGGAAACAGTTACGGACAATTGGGCGTCGGCAACAAGACCAACACCTGTAACCCGTGTATGGTAACGTTCATCGTGTTGAGAAATAAATAAAAAAAAAAACAAACAAACGAAACAATTCTTAGAACTTGAATGACCGATAGCTGTGCTACTAGGTCACGCACGAGATGGGACGGGTGTTCGACATCGCCGCACTGCACTACAGTCACATAAGCGTAGCCGTCGGCGAGGGCGGGTGCGTTTACATGTGGGGTCACTGTCGCGGCCAGAGTGTTCTGGTGCCCACGGTGACGCCGTTCTCGTCCGTGCACGACGTGCTCGCGTCCTACGCCTCGCCGAGCGTCATGCACAAGCCGCTCATTCTGCATATGGACGAGGAGTCGAGTATACTCGAGTGTTTGGGAAACGCGTTCGATGACGAGGTGTGTGTCGTTTTCGTGGTCTCTCTGTAAACGTGCTTTATTTTCCATCATAATCGACGTGTACAACTCTTGACGCAGTCGAGTATCTACACACTATTCGTTTAACGCGAGATTAACTCTCTTGATACAGTCGACGAGCGATCTTACGATAGAAGTAGACAAGCAACCAATTCACGTGCACAAGGCGATTCTGAAGATCCGCTGTCCGTACTTCAAGAACATGTTTCAGCACAACTGGTCGGAGAACAATCAGAGGTAAGCGTTTGTATGAAATACAAATACCCACGTGTTATTCTCTCTTATTTAGAGCATCTTGAGTTTAATTGTCTCGTCGCGCGTCAACATGTTCTCCCCAGCGTCATCGAACATACTCAATTTTCCTACACCGTGTTTAAAGCCTTTCTGAGATACTTGTACACCGGTGTGGTCGACCTGCCTCCGGAGAAAGCGTTAGGTAAGCTCCGGATTTTTTTAAATTTCGCGATATAGCGCGTCGTTGTTTGAAAGTGAGAAAAACAACAACGTGCGTTGTCTCTTTGTGTTGCAGAGCTTCTGGATTTGGCTAACGCGTACTGCGAGAACAATCTCAAGCGACGTTGCATTCGGATGATAAAGCAGGAGATCAGCGTAGCGAACGTAGCTTTTCTTTACAGCACCGCGATTGAATACAACGCGAAGGTGCGTTTAGTTTTGAATTTTTGTTTTTTATTTATTTATTCATTTTTTTTTTTTTTTTTTATTTATAAACGCGACGTTTACATCACGCGTGTAATTTTTTTCTTGTTTCATTCAGGAACTGGAAGAGTTCTGCTTCAAGTTTGCCTTGAATCATATGACGGCGGTGACGCAGACGGAAAATTTCGCCAAGCTGGATGAAAATACGCTGAAGACTTTTATAACTAAGGCGGCCAAAGCCGGCGCGTTTAGAACGTAAGCGATGATGCGTACGTTTGATTTGAAGGTAAACACGTTCCGACAAAAACGAATTGTTTATATATACTCGTATATAGTTGCTAGCGCAAACACAAATTTACAAACAATTCGAATAGTTTCTTTCGTAGAAAACTCGCAACACAATTCGTTTCATTCCATTTGCATTTGTTGGCATTTTTTTTGTTTGTTGTTTTTTATTTTTCCTTGTGTAAATAGTAATAAATGATATCTCTATATATAATAATAATAATAATAATAATAAAAATAATGGAATATATATATGATTACGCTAGTCCTGCGATTTTTAGTGCATTCCGACGGTGTGTTCGCGAGGAATTGCGAGATTCTTTCGCGATCGAGAGAGAGAGCGACTGCGCGCGATGACAAAGATCTCAGATTGTATTTCCGGCAATTTGCACAAAGAGATATAAAGAAGATACGTGTGTGTGTGTGTGTATCATAGATGCGATTGGGAAAAAAAAAAAAGAAAAACAGATTTCGCGATAACGATTGACTCGACACAAACGAGTGGAACAATAACAAGTGCAGTACTCTTCTCGCATTAGAAACAATACATAGAAACAATAAATAGATCAATAAATGTTAATTGCAAACAGAATTTTCTCGTTCCATTTTCCCGCGTGATTTCGCACACACTATTTGATCGCATGTATTATAATTGCGATATATCGCGATATGTACATGATATGCGTTGACGCGTTGACTCGCTAACTCTTTTGTGATCTATGCGACACAGCGATGTGATTCTCAATCGAACTCGCGGTCTGAACGACCGCGAGGTATGTGTGTGCGTGTGTGTTGAACTTGAACAATAAAAGTTTTTTAATACTCTGACATATTGTAATCTGATAATATATTGTTATCCGCTCCTGTGTGATAATAATCTTCTCTTATGGGGGAGGGGAGGAAAGAAAAAGTGACAAACAGACGACGGCACTTGCTTGCAACTACGAGAGAAAAATTATATAAAGAGTAGAGACCCCGTGGCTTTGGTACACGCGTCTACTATAGAAAAGTGAAATATTTTTCTTTTTGTTCACAAAGATTGGAAACTGTGTGCTTTTTTTTCCTCGGTTTTTCCTAAAAAAACGTCACTCTCGGGATTTTCGCGTTTAAAATTCTTCACTTTTTTCTGTTTTTTTGTTTTCTTTTTTTTAATTCCTATCCCGTACGTACATATATAGACACGGTGTGTGTACACGCGCGCTCGAAACAAATTAAACGCTAAATAAATAAAGAAAAAAAAAGAGAGAACTTCGGCAAAATTGACGGCGAAGATTTTTTGACGTTTGTCTTTTTCGCACATACATCATTTTATTACGATATTCTCAATATATACAAGCGATAGATTTTTGTTTTTGTTTCGTATAATATATACGTACGTCATCTACTAATTAATAATTATATTACGTGACGCTTAATATACATACATATACTCCGAAGCGGGAGCGATCGGCGTGTTTCGCTATACGCGTTTCGGGGAATCTCGATAAATGAATCCCGATAAATCTGTACACGTGTATAATCTGTTTCAGCGCGTTAACTTCTCGGATCCCCGTCGAGTCTAGCTGAAACGCCCGTCGATCGTTCCCAATCCAATCTCGTATATAGAAGTATATAAGATATATATATATATATATACATATATATATACATATATATGTATATATACGAAGTTGTGTCTTTATCTTACAGCGGCCACCGTAAAACGGGCGCTTTGTATATATATATATATATACGTGTCTCTTTTTTTTTTTTATTTAAATGTATTTATATACATATATATATATATATAATATATTTATATATATATAATATATTTATATATATATATATATATACATATATATATATATATATGTATATGTATAAGTAATTGTTTATTAGGTGTGATCGGTCTTTCGGCTGACACTCTCACTGCAATCGTCGCGCGTGCAATAGCGTATAAAGGTTTGTTTCTTTTTTTTTCCGAGATTTCGCAAAATACAAATTACTTTAGCGATTACGTATCGGCTAAGTTATATTGTTATTATATTTATTATCGTGATACTTAGATGTTTTTATTTGTTTTTTCAATTTGATCGGACCAGGAAGCTTCTTCAGAACGTTGACAATAACTGTAGATAAGCGCAACAACACCAAATTAAATTAAGCAGCGCGTGTAAGTATAGATTGTGTAAAAAAGAAACACAGTAAATAAAATACAACTTTTCGTTAACAATCTATCGCGTTGATGAGAAAGAAGTCGAAGGAAAAAGCGGTCGCGCGCACACACGCGACGTTTGCAACGGCGCATGGTCGAGCTTCGATACGATACACCTTGAGGAACAAACCTTTTTTTTTTTTTTTTCCAAAATCACGCGGATTCTGGGCTGCTGTTGCATCGAAGCGGGACCAGCCGCACCCGACAGCCCGATGACAATCAATCGAATTAGTTTTTTTTTCTTTTTTTTTTTTTAATATTTTTTTTATTTATTCAGTTAGTTTAATCGTTCCTCGTGTTTCTTTTCTGTGAGAATTAATTAGAACGTATTTAGGCCTGCGGGCTACTTTTTCTCCAGCGTTGCGCTGCAAATCTCATCGACGACAAAAGCGAGACTTCTTCTCGGTTACCTTCTCCGTTTAATCTTCGAAGGACTTTTTTTTTTGTCTTGCTAAATACATGTATTTTATTTATAGTCAGCTTCTCTGTCTCTCTCTCTCTCTCTCTCACTTATTTGCTCACTCACTCTCTCATTTTTGCTCTCGCTCTCTCACTCTCGCTACAATCTTCGATCACTCGTCGACAATCCCGTGTCCGTCGAAGCTCGAGTTTGCCGTGGACGACACGCGTCGCAGAGCTTATCGTGTTGCGTAGGATTATAATCGTTTAGAGTCCTTTGTACAGACTTCTGATAAATCGTTCTCTAATATTTTTTTTTTTTTTGCCATTTGTCTTGTTATAATTTTTTATTATCTCTTATTACGACCTAATTATATACTCTCTCTTCTCACGCGCGCGCGTATTTTCTTTCTCTCTCTCTCACACACACACACGCACACGCATACTCTTTCTCTCTCTCTCTCTTTATATCTCTACTTACGTTATAATGGTGCTTGTTATATCGGTTTAAATTACCTAGATGCGGATTTTTTTAAGGAGTTCCGGACTAACGGTGGAATCAAATTCTGGTCTTCTCCTCGTCTGTAAAACATGGTGGAATGTCTCTTTTTTTTCAGTTTAAATTACTCGATTCCCGAATTCGATGAAGCGGTTAATGCAAAAAAATAGTTGATCGCACGCGCACACACACATACACGCGCGCACGTACGCACGCACACGCAACACACAGAAAGACGCAACATACAAAGCTTCACGCGACACTCGAAAAATCGGCATATTTGGATTACTTGTATGTATCTAGTTGGTTCGCCGTAAATTGTTCGCACGCATAAGAGGATTAAATACCGTTCGCAACAACGGAATCGATCGTTAAGTCTCTGTTGTGTGTTTCACGCACGAGAAAAAATTAATTAACAATTTAAACCGCTAAGAGTATTTCAAAAACGATTATATGCTTCTTTTCGTTATTACAACTAAACAACATTTACGTTCATTACGAAGAATGTCCACACATGTGGAAATTAATTTACTTCGCTTGCGAGACGCGAGATATAATTTACGAATTATATAATTGCGCGCAATTTGATGTCTCTTCGAAAGTATTCGAGGGATTTTATTCGAGTAAAATCGGAATAAATTCTCTTTTGATTCTTATATTTTTTTTTTGTTTTTTTTCTTAGATAACTTACATGTGACTTTTGCGGCACTAAGTATCTCTCTCGAGCATCAGAAGATTTTGGAGCGACGTGTATGTATATATATCATAAATGTAAATGATACCGATGTCTACGAAGAAGACGGTCTCTCCGCACGCGCACCCATACACACACGCACACGCGCACACACATGCGCACACAACTACAAGATAAAAAGTCAGTAGAACAAGTAGCGATACTGGAAATATTCCAGAGCTGACTTTATTAAGCAGAATTTGCATTATGTTAACTATGTCGCCGTCGCGTCACCATCACGTCAACGCGCCGCAAAGCTGCATCTATACATGGAAAAAGACGTGAAAAGTTTTAAGAAGCTGCAAGTTGTTGCCGTATCTCTTCCGTCTTTCGAAACAAAAATTTTTACATTAATGATTTAATATACCATGTTTTTGTTTTTAACAAAACTGATGATTTCTTTGCGAAAAAAACGCCATAAAATAGAAAACAGATTAAAAATGCAAGTATGTCGAAGGAAATGTTGACAATATTTAAAGCAAGCGTTGATCTAGGATCAACGTGAAAAAGAAAAAAAAAAAGAAAAATGAAATATTTCCGTGACGGTAACGACCGGCAATTCGCGCTTTACGGAACGGACAGGAGAATCGGAGAAACGCGTCACGTTTTGAAATGTTCTCGCCTGACGAATCTCGTCGACATTCGCGATTCGGTCACATCGTGAATCGCGCGAGAACCACTCGAAATTCACGGGGGGGGGGGGAGGGGAGACAAAACAATATCTGACGAAAACGACCGACGAAGAACGCGTGGAAGGCTCGCGTTATTAAATTCTTTTCGTATCGAACGCGCGCGAACTTTACTCGTGCGTGGCTTTTACGGCACGGCGAACACTCAAGCCGAGCGAGCGAGAGGGAGAGAGAGGGTTATATATCGCGAGACAGAAGAATTCTTTTTTGCCTCCCTGTTTTGTTTTTTTTTTTTTTTTCGTTTTTTTTTGGTACGAATGCGATCGACTGTGCACGACGCGGCGCGCGTTCGGGGTGGTCGTGAGACGTGCGCGCGTATCCGGCCGTATAGATCGAATTGCGGATCCCATTACTATCTTGCCGCAATACGTACATACATATATATATATATATATATATATATATGTATACAATATATATGTATATATATATATATATATATATGTTCACACACGTGGATATGGAACCGAGCGAATGCAAATGCAGACGAAGTCTGTCGTTCAGGAGCCGGCAGCAATTTCACGCGATATTGAGCTATCTTCGTCGGCTGTTAGATACGAATGCGATATAACGCGATACATCATCGTGCCATCGATGCGTCACAAGCGTGAGGAAAGAAATTCATTCTTTCTTTGTTAAACAAAATTCTTACACAGTTTTCTTTCTCTCTCTCTCTCTTTCTCTCGCACTGAAAGCCTTACGCGCGCACGTTGCTAATTTTTCCCATTTATGTACACTCACACACCGAAATCCGATCGATAATACCAAACGCGAGTGTTTGTTTCGCAAGAGATACCAATCGCTGAAACGAACGAAAAAACAAAAAGAAAAAGAACGGTCAAGTATTTTGACGCGATACACGCGATTATCATAATAACACCGTGTTAGATGTCTGATATTTTTTTTACGAGTCGCACAATCGCCTATCGGTTCTCGTTAATCTATCGGATTTTTCACGAACCGCGATATATATATATATATGTGACGCGAGAATCTCCGTCTTGCGAATTTTTGTAGACGTTCTGTAACGCAGATGTCGATAAAACGGAATACACACTCCGTTGAGAAACTCGAAGGGAATTACGGGTTCTTTATTTCGCTCTTTGCTCGCGCGTTCGATACACACCATATCACATTTGTGTCTTACGCGGAGGCGAGAGAAGAAGGGGGTTGAAACGCGACGGCGGCATGTATACGCGCGATGATTCGCGTTCGTGAAATCGACGGGGTGACCCACATAATAACGTGGTGTGTGTGTTCTCGCGCGGGGCGATACAACGCGCGTCGAGATCGACGGAAAACAGGAGACTTGAGAGGTCGCGACGTAATATCACGACGCGATAAATTCCGCATACCCTACGTATCGTGTTCATAGTTTCTCGTGTTTCTCGCCTTCGAATTTCTAGCCGTTTCTCTGTCGAGCGCGCGCGCGCACGTACGCTACAATGGGAGGAAGAAGCCATCGAACCACCGGGGGTGGGTAGGTTCGTAGGAACTGTAATTACCGCAATTAACCGTACACACACAACTTCGCCCGATAGTTTCAAAACTATCGTTTTCGTCCCCGTCCGTTTCCGCTTCGCGTCATTTTCTCTTCTTCTTATATGTATATGTGTATATATATATATCTCTCTCTCTATTTCGTCGTCCAGTTTTCCGAGATCGATTTTTTTTTTTTTTTTCGATTCCTCGATCCTCGAGGCGCTACAACGCCACCACAGATTATTTCGAACTCGACTCCACCGAGCTCCGGAGCTCCCCGTAGTTCCCTGACCGAATGATATAATATTTTTTCTTTCTTTCTGTTTCTCTGTCTTTCTTTCTTTTTCTCTCTTTCTCTCTCTCTCTCTCTCTCTCTCTCTCTCTCTCGGGCGTTTGTTTGTTTCTTTTTATTTGTTCATCGTCGATCCCCCCATCTTCCGGCGATCGAGCACTCGTCTACTATTGATATGTCTGTTTCTCGTGCAGGTGCCGTCGTCTTCTCACAATTGTTCGTTCTTTGTTTATTCGTTTCTCTGATATATTCCTCCCCCCTTCTTTTTCTCCTCTTCTTCTCCTCGGTCCCCGTCCGTACGTCTGTCGATTCGTCCGTCCGTCCGTCCGTCCGTGTGTTTTCCGTTTTTTCGCGTCGTTTTCGCTCGCGCGCGCGTTTTTGTGCGTCCACTTCTTCTTCAGGGAAAAAACGGACCGCCGCCGCCGCTGCTGCTGCTGCTGCTGCTGCCGCTCGACGGGGCTAGGACGGCGGCTCGGTGGCCGACCACCGATCCGGCAGCCGGGAGCTAAACGATGCCTCTGACGTCGTGTTGTATGTGAGGCAGAGTAGTGAGGCCGGTCAATAACAGGCTCAAGATCAGGAGTATCCGGGTCGCGCCGAAGTCGGCGAGGCTCGTGCCGCTGCAGGTCTCCTTGGACGCGACCTCCAGTTTCGCTGTAACAGAGTCACGGTGCCCCGTAATGTCTTTATAATTTAAAAGCGCGCGGAGATTTTAATTAACAAACGCGAGAGTTTTTACTCGAGAACGGGATCGCCAATTCGCGAACATTTTTTTTTTTTTTCCCCCGTCCGAACGTTTATTAAAAATATCACAATCTACTCCGCTTAATAAAGCAATTTAAAATTTCAAACGCAATACATAAAAAGTGTTTTAAATTTAAACAGAGTATATCTCGTGCCTTTTTGTTTTTATTAACGACTGTTTGTTTTGCGAGATAGACACCTTATACATTCGTAACAGATACGCTTTGATACACGCGAAATTAATTTCGATATTAGCTAACGCAGCGCGCACGGGGGAGGTAGCATCTGGGGTTTCATCAATAACGCCATAAGTGTCAGCCATATTGCTACGGGTAATTACTGCAGAGCGCGCAAGAAACAGCGGGCACACAGAACTAACATGGCGCCGTGTGAGACTGAAAAAACTTATTTTGTCGTCGATGCGAACGTTGTTGCGAGGTAAAATAAAGCACGAAACAAAGCAACATTTCGAATAACAATTAAACAATTCAAGATCATGTAAATTTTAAATTTGCGTGTATTGATTTGCACGTAAAAAAAAATAATATATTTTACACGTACGTTTGACGTGATTCTTACCGGTCTTGTTATTTCTTTCGTATTATTTGAATGTTAAAAGAACGCGTGCATGATTTGCAATTTATATATTTGTAAAAAAATTTAAATTTGTCATACATGTATATATATATATATATATATATATATATATATATATGTGCAATTGAATATTTTATTTTACAATTAAAACGGTTGCTTTTGTGTCCTGCATTTTATCGCTGGCACTCGCGATAAAACTGCATTCTGTCGTTTAGAGATTTCGCGTTTTATATTCAAATGAAAAATTCAAATTGTTTTTTTTTTTCTTTCTCTCTTTTTCAGCTAAAAGCGCGTGTCGAGAGTTCTCGTAATTACGCGAAGCACAATCGGGCCTTGTAGTCGATCACCTGGGATTATGCGTAGATTTGTTTTAATATACGTTATATAAAAAAAAAATCCGCGTAATTTGCTTTGTTTGTCTGTGACATTGTTCATCGAGAGAGAATCACCGATGAATTTACATCATCCGTCGAGATGAGAAGCCCGTAATGTTTATAATAAACACACACACACACACCGCAAAGCCAAGTATTTTTATTTCTTCGGAATTTCTAAATTTAAACCGAGGGCGGTTTTATTCGCGCGCGAAAATTTTTCTTTTCATCCCTTCTAATGGCTCGCAAAGTTGCACGAAATCTATCGAGGGAGAGTTCGTTATCGCGGACTCTTTTCTCTCCCGGCCAACGTCGCTCTTCCCTGTCACAGCATGTCGGGGAAAACGATGGAACACTCCCTCTTTTCCCTAACGAGAATGATATTTTCGTTCGGTCGCCTCGCGTACATCACACGACGGTATAAAAGGAAAAAAAAAAGTAAGTAACGGGGAAGGGGCGGCATTTCACGGCGCAGCTATCTCGTGTAGTGTACGTTTTTCATTCCACATGAAACACACACGTGAACACACACGACGACTTTCGTGACCGGCCGGCGCGTTGACACGCCATGCCGTTTAAATCTCGGCACCCCCGCCGCCGCCGCCGCCGCCGTCGTCGTCGTGCGTGCGTGCGACGGAGTTCAACCGTAATCGCAATTATCATTTAAAGCGACGTTGTTGTTCGAGCAAATACAAATTTCAGGCGCTTATCGCGAACGCGACGTCGTGTAAATACGAATCGGTAATGAAAGTCTATTAACGAACCTTGTCCCGCAAGGACGCGCGCGGCGCTTTGTGAAAAGCGCTTATGAAAAGTAAACGCGAATAATTCTCGATAATTAATTTTCGATACACGCCAAAAACGTTTTTGAAAATTGATTTATCAAGTGTTTACTTTGAAAATACATTCGCGTTTCTTGTTTACCGAAACTGTTACGTGAAACTTTTACGTCGCTAACATCTGCGGTTTGTTTCTTTTTTTTTTTTTTTTTTTTTTAATAAACAATTTCGCGAAGGGAGAGAAGAGATCCACTGAGCACAACTTTAACAAAAGTTCGCCGACGTGAACTCGCGCACAAGAATCTTTTTCCCTATCCGTTTGGCAAGATTGGTTTTTTCAAGCAGTCCCACAAGATCGACGGCAGTTCTCGTTTATATATTGAATACAACACGAGGTCGCGATGTGTGTCTCAAATCTGTCGAATAACGAGCGCGGTCGTAAAGAGTAACCGGATGTATCTTGACTTGTAAAAGGAGTAGATTGTGCTGATAGCGAAAGGGGAGGCACAGGCCTGTACACGTCTCTCTCCAAGACTTTCCCCACGGAATATACTATATCTCTCGTCGTTGGTGCTACGCAGTCGCGCGTTCGCGGCCTTAAGTGGGACACTTGACGAAGCGCACTTGATAGCGGTTCTGAATAAATGATGCGGACTCGAGCGTCGGATACGTTGCCTCGCGCGCAATAAAGTTCTCTAGAACACGAACCCGGAGCGTATTTTCGCGACGCTTCGTCGCGAACGACGCACGCGATGTTGTTTCACGCTCGAACAACGCGTTAAACGATCTCGTTTCGCGACCAATTTAAAGAAACAAAAAAAAAAAAAAAAAAAGAAAAAACTGCGCACCCTCTTTTGTCACTTTGCAATTTCACGCGAAACGATAGACGATCCTGAATTCTTCTCCTCACGCGTTAGAATCGAGCGACCGACCACGACGAGGAGAGAGCCGCAATTCTTTAGGCGCAAAGACGATTGTTCTCCGCACGCATTGTTCGGACGCGAGTTGTGTGCCGTGTGAATGATTTTCTCCGAGAAGCGACTCTCGACTCTCTCTCTCTCTTTCTCTCTCTCTCACTCTCTCTCTCTCTGCGAGAACAATCAAACGTACTTGGCGCTCAACAGGTGTCATACATAAGACAATCCGTGCGGAACGTGGTAAGTAACGCGTCGAGTGCCTCGACGGTTCGATGAATCAAACCCTTGTCGTGCCCGGTTCGAACCCTGCGAGGTAAAACCCTTGGCGTTTACGCGCGCGTTGGAACGTGCCGAGGTACATCACAACGTGCGTTTCCGCTTATATCAGTTTTTTGCTGGTCTTTTTTTTGTTTCTTCTTCTTTCCCCGGTGATTAGATTTCTGTTTTGGAAGACGCGACCGTTTCGTTTCGTAAACGATCGCTCAGGCTCTTCTCATCCGCGGAGGTGGACGCGAAGTACTTACACGTGGCGCCGAGTAGCTGCGGCAGATATTTCTTCCAGAAAGCGCACTGCCTCACCCTGGGACCGCTACCGATCTCCGTGTTGTTGATGTCCAAGGTGAGGTATTCTTTATTGGCGACGGTGTGCGGCGGCCAGTAAGGCAGCTTCAATCCGTTCGTGCTGTCGCCCACGTTCGGATCCCTGACCGGATCACACAGATTACACGTCTAAATATATCGCTGCTCTAACGCAACAAATCTCTCTCTCTCTCTCTTTCTCTCTCTAAATAACGAGATTTTCGAATTAAATCCCCCGGCAATTTACAGCGACAATAAAATGACGTAAGCCGGCGACGGTCTAAGAAAATCAGAGAGATTCGTAATATTGAGCAAGGGAAAAAGTAATTTGTTAAATCCTCCAACTCTTTTTTTTTTTTTTTTTTTTTTTTTTTAAGCCCTACATACAGAATGTAAATCTCGGTATTGGAAGGACTTTTCTCCTCGTTAAATTAAAGCAGCGATATTTCTCGGGGAAATTACGGAACGTAATAAGATAACACGGGAGAGGATACTTTTATCGTTTTCTTACCCCGTTTTCGCAAAGTTCGCCCAGTATCTCATCATCCTCTTCGAGAGGTGTATTTCCTCCTGCGTATAGCCTTTGGATGGGTTTAATGGCTCTCCGAAGACATAATTTATCTCATCAGCATGCATGACTCCGGTCCACCGCGGCCACGGGTTGTTTAGGGATCTGATTAAAATTTGTATACACTTGTTCGATCGTGATATAAATAGGATCAAAGATTAATTATAAGAAGGATTTGGATTAAAAACAGAAACATTTGTTCTTCTAATTCACGTTGTTGTAAGATAAAGTTATTTTCTTCTCTTATTTCTCGAATTTGGTTGATATAAATTTTCAAGAGTATGTAAAAAAATATTAAAAAATTACCAATCTCGCGTTAGAGTTTTTTGTTTACCTGTGCTTGTAGTAATACATGTAGACGGTATTGCCGGTGTCGGCGTAACGGCCGGCGAATTCGTTGACGTTGCAGGTGAACTGATAGTCGCCGACGATCTTGTCGAGGGCGTCGCGATTCGCGTGCGGATCGTCCGGGTGCAGCCAGTTGGTGTACTCGTAGATGATGGCGTGCCGGCCGATTTGATTGACGTAGGGATTCAGCTCGGATACCGCGCTGATGAACTGATCGCGCGTCACCTTCACGTCTTCGGTGCCATCGATGCGAAACAGCTCGGTCAGATAGTAAATGATGAAGTAGAAACCCTCCTCGGTGTTGGAGCCCATCAGGATGTTGGCCTTCTTGAAGGACGTGGTGGCGAGCGAGCGCTGCGGCGACTCGTCGAGAAACGCGCCGTCGATCACCGGCACGAACGGGAACTCGCAGATTCCGAGAGTGCCCCACTCGTTCTTCACCAGTTCCTCCGCGTCCTTCGTGAGCAGACAGTCGATCACCTCGCGCAGACTTTCGTGACTGTGCGGACAGCCGACCGCCTCGGCTAATCGGAGTCCGCGTGTAATCGATTCATCGCGCGCGATTATCGCCCACGGCGTGGTCGGCGAGCCTGACTGCATGATGGCCTGGTTGAACAAGTGCCTGCAATCGAAGGTCCGGGCTACTTTTGTTTTTTTTTTTTTTTTTACCGAGGATTAAATACGACGATGAAATACACGATCTATGTTTCGATTGTTACATATCGTTGACATATCGGGATAATGTGAGCGAATGAAAAAGATCTCAACTAAATTACATGAACACACAATCAAATATAGAATTTAAAAGTCAAATATATAAAATTCTGTATCACTTTCGAGCTTATCTTATTGATAGATCCTCGTTTTCTGATTAAAACTGACCTGGAAAGCGGTGACAGAAGATGCATGGAAACGGATACCGCGCCCGCGCTCTCGCCAAAGAGCGTCACGTTGTCGGGATTGCCGCCGAACGCGGCAATATTGTCGCGCACCCATTGCAAGGCCATCATTTGATCAAAGAGACCGGCGTTACCGGGCACGTCCGCCGTGCCGAAGTACAGGAAGCCCAGACTGGCCACGCGATATTGCATCGACACCAGAATTATGTTCTCTTCCGACACTAGAATCTTGTGATCGTAAACGTCGAGGGTGGCCGAGCCGGAGTAAAAGCCACCTGAAAAAAAAAGAATTGCGCAGGGTTTTCTTGGGTTTCGCGGCTGCCGCCGAAGAGATATGTGCGATATTTATTCATTTTAATTTGGAAACAATTTGTATTTTATGTCTAAAGTGCGTGGAAATAATTTTATTATTTCGTATACGATATAAAGTTTTACTTTTGTTGTTTTATCGCTATAACTTCTTTAACTTTTAGCCAATTGCGCTTAAACATAAATTTAAAAGTTAGAAATTAAACCGTCTCGTTTATTCATCAATCAGATAAAAAAAAAAAAAAAAAAGAACTTTGAGAAAATTTTTCGTCCGCACAAATGTTAAGACACAATGATGGATTTTCTTCACTAGGAACTCACCACCGAATATCCATACCATGACAGCGGCGTTCGTAGGCCTCGGTCGTGGCGCTACCACGTTCACGTAAAGGCAGTCCTCGCTCAGCGGCGTGTTCGGATTCCACATGGTAGCGCCGGCGAAGTCGCCGAACACCGTGTCAAGGATCTGCACGCAGCTGTTCGGCAATGTGGTCGCGTTCAACACTCCCGACCAGCGTTCGGCCGGTCGCGGGTGACGAAACCTTAGCGGGCCTGCAACAATATTTCTTGAATTAAATCATTTTTAACGAAAAACTTCTATTTTTATGTGTTTCTGAAGTTGAATTTAGCAAAACTTTTTTTGTTTATTCCAATTTGATGATTAAAATCAATTTTTATTACATTAAAATTATTACTTTGCAACAAATACAATTTATTAATCCAACAGTTTTTTGCATTAATTTTTTTTATTGCAAATTATCTTCTAAATGTAGAAAAAAATGACATAGCCGTTTATTCTCTCCCTTTGCGAAACTTACCGATGGGTTTCTGAGCGTAAGGTATGCCGAACCAAACGTCGACCTCCTTGCCGGTTGTGGCCGTCAAGGTCTTGCCGCGTACTAAGCCTTTCTTCGTGTGCACGATCAGGGGATCGTTGCTGCTGAAACCGGCGGGTCGTGGGAGCTCCTCGCTCGTCCTGGAACTCCTGACATCTTCGTGCGACGTCGACGACGCGGCCGCTTCCTGCGCGTGAAGCTCGTGCTCGTGATGTCTGCTACGGTGGGGCGAACCGTGGGATGGATTCGTCTGCAGAAGGAGGAGCAGGATCAAGCTCAGCATCAGCAGAGCCTCCAGTCTGCCGGAGCCGGTCCACCAGGAACTTGAATTTCTCGACATCGCGCCTGCAATGTATAAAATAGTCCCACACATCCCAATCATATAAAGATTTGTCGGCTCGTCACTTGGTCGATTGTCAAGTGCCAACTCTGTTCAATTAATCAACGTCAGAATAAATTACAACGTACAAAGTTTAGAAAGAAAATTTACCGGATATTGCGTTGAGCAGCAGTAATGATGTAGTTTTAAAATACATTTTAACATTTTTCGATTTGTTCAAGTAATATTGTCTTTTATATTCTATACATTCAAACAGATATACCCGAAAAAAATGGAAAACGTGTCATGTGGGATTATATATAGGTCGGGTTTTGTATGATTGTATAATATTTTATACAAGTGATTTCATATGTGATCGTGTAAAATCAGATTCGAAATTTTGCGCGATCTGATCACTTACATACGTAATCTTACATGATCATATGTTTCTATTTTTTCTCGAGCAGAAAATGAAGTATTTAACATCTAACATGATAAAAAGATAAATAAAACGAGAGATATTCTTGTTTGCACAGTCGTGTCAATTATAAATATTTGTTGTAAAAAGAGATACAGAAGCGGTCGTGAGTTGAATTTATTTTCAATTCGCGTTTTGTGTGTATTATTTTACATTTACTCCGACGCAAGCGCAATTGATGTGACAAAAAAACTGCTTAGCGAACACGTTATTTGAATTACGTGGTACGTCAATTTTACAATTTGAAAAATCTGAATCTTGAAAATTTTGCATAGTAAAAAAGAAACAAATGTATTTTAAAAAATTTTAATCAAGATATAACACGTGTTTTACTGTTAGAAGAATGCTCTTTCAAAAAGTATTTAAATAAACCAAGCACGAAACGTATACAATACACACACACACACACGTTATTCTTACCGTTGCATTTGTAAATAATAAATGTATCGACAACTTTGTTTTTCTCGGAGAAATGCAAAACGAGAGATATTCTTAAGAGGATAATTGCCGCCGAACTGTGACTGCGATACCCTCTAACAGGGGCATTTATTACGAGAAAGAGAGACACTTGTCTCGATTAAATAATATTTTTCGACATAGTTCTTGCTATTTTTACGCTTCCTTCGTCAAATATTTATGTGATACTGTCACGACGAAGCCGTTACGTAACTGACAGATGATACGTGTCTCTTCCACTTTACTACTGTTTACACCATTCCGCGCATTACTGCAAATTGAAAAACACATCGAGTTCACGCTTTGAATTGCTCCTTTTTCCACGACTACCGACAAGAATTGACACACACACACACACACATTTATTTCGTTTAAATATTATTCGCGTGCGTGCGAGATGGGATTCGCGGTTGGGAAATGCGAGCACGTAAAAGGTTCCGAAAAGTTTTTTTTTTTCAACAAAAAGAGAGAAAGAGAGGAAGCCATAAAAATTTCACTGATAATTTCCCATTCTCTTGCGAACTTAAAAATACAAGTTGAAAAATTTTTTATGTATGCCATATTGATCCGTACGTATTCTTGATACACATCGAGATATCTATAGTGTTTCTTTTTTTTTTTTTTACGCCGAAGTAGACCTCGGTTCATCCGATTAATCTCAATTCGAGTTTCAACGACTTGCTTTTCGACCGAGGCTGTCTCGTTCGAATATCACACGTATAATAATTATATATTTTGAAATTTATTCCGCACAGTTCCCCGAATTCCCTAATTCTCGAACACTCTCTTCAAGTTGCACAGAAATTTTGATGAAAATTAAACCTGATCTTATTAGTTAATGCGCCGACAGAAATTCTCGGAATCGCGAATTTTTGATGGTTCCGAAACTTCTCTCGTGCATTATTAAAGATACTTTTTTTTTTTTTACAAGCACGCGAGATAAAATCGCAAATCCCTCGACCGATTTTAAAGCTCGATTTTCCGTTTTAATCGTTTGAAAGAATAATGCACGGAGAAACGTGTGTGGACCGATATGTATTGTGTCAGCGAAAAAAATTAAAAAAACTATCGCTCGTGATAATACGTCGCGGAATAAAAGCTTTGAAAAAATCTACTTTTGCGATATTGAGAGAGAGAGAGAGAGAGAGAAAAGGAGAGAGAGAAAGAGAGAGAGAGATACACGTCGCCGTGCTCGATAACGCACGTTAGGAGGGATTACTAGGATGATAGTATTCTCTAGTTACCACACGAAGGTCCACACGTTGATTAGCAACTTCCTTCTACGTGTTCCGTGCGTGGCCGAACGTGCATTTGGTCACACGCAGCGCGTCCACGGGAATGTCGCCGCACGCGGAAGTTTACACACGAGGCGAGCGAGCGAGAGAGAGATTGCGCAGCATTAATGTCATCAGAAATTAGAATTTATTGACGACAGAACGGTGCGAAGAGAGAAAGAGAATCTCGTAAAGAGCTCGTGGGCCGTGATTAAAAAGTTTTTTTCCATCGCGAAAGCGCGCGCGATCTAATCAAATGCGAAGGACGGAATGATCGCGGTTTCTGAGAATTCGAAAATCGCACCGAGTCAAAACGAAAAAAAACGTTACTTTCATCGAGTCGAATAATCGAGTAACAGACGCAGTTATTTAATAACAGTGAAAATAAATAATTCAATTTGTCGATGCAAACGTCGTCCAACTTTTTGCGTAATTAAAATTCAGAGTCAAAGCTCGGCGGCGGTTTAGATCGTATGTGTGTGTGTGTGTGTGTGTGCACGCGCGCTCGCGTCTGTGTAGCTCTGTCGAATTCATTGAAAAAGTGAAAAACGAGGTAGAGAGAAATAAAGGAGGGGAGAAACAAAAGTGGCGCGTGAGAGAGGAATCGGAATTGCGATCTTTTTGTTCGGAAGAACTCACCGAAATTCTCAACGTTTTTTTTATTTTGCTCACTCGTTTATCCGATATTACTTATTGTCGTAACGCTTAACTCAGTGCTTATTGTTTCAATTAGAGCACGCACTCGCGAAACTCGTGGACGAACGAATGACGGATTGACTTATACACGCGACCGACGACGACGAGCTTTCGGGGAGTTTGCGCGAGATGAGACGTGCTCCGCCGATATATGAAACACTGACTAACACACGACTCTGGCTGAAACGGTCATGAGAGTGACAGACAGCGCGCGAGGCCGATGGATACCGCATTAGAGCGAACCGACTAGTTACTTCCCTTGGCACTGCGACACTTATACGTGATATAGACAGAGCTCGCCGATCAAAGTCGTCACGGCTCGACCGTGTTGCTGCAGATCGATCGAGATAGATCGTCCTCGCTGGACGACGCTCGCGAGACAATTGTTCTTCGTCCGCGTCCACAAAGACAAAAAAGTTCTTCAAATTTTTACGTCGCCGCAAAACGTTGCGATCTTCGCGAAGTATGTCGCGAGCAAGATTGCGACAATGTTGCGTCGATATTTTAAACGAAAAAAAAAATACTTACACAGAGAGAGATTCTACGTACGTGTTGCGTACTCTCGAAACACGTTTACAGAACTCAAACCTCGTCTTTTTCGACAAGAAAAAAACGACGTTAAAAATACTCTCATGCGAGTTGCTCGGTTTTCATCGCTGAAGTAAACGATTGTGTAGCTAACTATCCGCCAACTTTTGGCTATATATACGTGTGTGTGTGTGTGTGTGTGTGTTTTTTTACCGCCGCTCTCTTTCCAGACGATTCGATCGTCTCTCCGTTCATTTCCAGACGTTCTTTCCTTCTCTCTCGGTACTTACGGTAAGAAAGATGCGAGGAAGGTTGCTCAAGGCTATTAGATTTCAAACGGCGACGATGTCCTCCTCCGAATCCGCGACTGGCAGATTCCTTTCTCTTCTCGTCTACATTCTTCGTTCATGGAGCATCGTCTCTGCAATATACAGCGCGCGCTCGGTCAGAGAGATCGAACGAGATTCCAAGTAAAAAATAAGATCAAGTACAGATAAGGGAACAGGACTTTAACGCGTGAGTTCGTTATTTTGAAATTACACTCCAGAAACGAAGAGACACATCAAACGTTTGTTTGAAGCGGAACAAATGTTTCGTAAAAACGGATTGATAAGATAAAACGCAGCAGAAAAAAAAATCACGATGACACAATACAAAAAAAATAAACAGCGAACAAAGTTTTTATCAAAAAGAAAAAAAAAAAGAAACAATACAACACCAATTTGTTATGGAAATTTCTCACCCCCGCTCGCGCACACGTGCGTGCGCACGCTCCTCCTTCTTTTGCATATTATTAAATTTGATCCCGTCCTTCATTTCGCTTCACCCTTCATTCTTCGCGGGAGCGGATTCGCGCGCGAATTCGTTATTATCCGCGAATTCCACGTGCGCGTCGTCGCTCGTCGGAAAGTAGGGCGTATATGCGCCTTATTAGAAATTTCGGTCGTCAGTATATTTGTCTTCCCGGCAACGTGGAATTCGGTATATGAACGGATGAAAGGTGGCTCCCGCGGGGGAGAAGTGACGCGCGCGGGAAGGTATTATCGTGCGCGCGGAAATGAAGAAGATTCGCGGATTCAGCAAAACGCGCGCGGAACCGAAATATCCATTTCGACATAAATTTGGTCGGAAATCCCGAAACATTTCGAGCGGCGATTAATTAACGGCGATATATAGATACGACTTTGGGGGATGATGTGTTTTTCTTGACATTTCCGGGATCGCGTCCTCGAAATAGAAGTTTCGCGTTATTTTCGTTTCATTTCATTTCGCTCGCCCGGCCCGTGTGTCGAAGTATTCCATTAAAACGGAACGTTTCTCTTTAAGAATGCCGAGCGACAGTTCGGTGGTGGTTCGATGAGAAAGGGTGGTTGGATATTGGGGTGGAAGAACGTCTGCGAATTTTCGTTTCACACACACACATACATACACGCGCGCGCGCACGCACAGACACACGGACGATCGTTGACCGAGAAACGAAAGGTCAGGGCGTCACTGGCTCGGCTCGACTTGGTTGGCTGACTGGCTGCACTGCGGGGTCGAGTTTCGCGACGCGGACATTTAGGAAATTACCGCGCGCGCGGGGTGGAAAAATAAAACGGTTGCTCGGACGAAATATGTACGAGCGCGTAGCCTCGAGCGTCCCAGAAAAAAACCACTGAATATTTCTTTCTCTCTCTCTCTCTGTCTTTCTTTCTTTCACTTTTTCTCTCACACCCCCAAGATTCTTCGGTCGACTGAAAGTTTCTCTCTTAATGAAATTGCAAGAACGTCTGCGATCTTCGAGCAATCAATGAGTGGAAAGAAAGATAATGATGTATTTTTAGCATTGGCTCTTTTATTACTTCTTAATGGAGAAAAAATGCAGTACGTAATGTTTTTTCCTACGATTAAAGAAATATTAATTAGAAAAAAAAAAAAAAATATACATATATATTTCACGAGACGTCTCCCGCTAACGGAAAGCTTCTAAAAGAAACGCTGCATTTTTCTTCAGTGAGAAAAATGCTTTTTTTTATTTTGCCTTCGTGAATTAATTGACGCTGCGGCAGCGCATCTCCGCGAAAACAAAATTGCGTTCCTCTTTCCCATCCCCAAAATGTACACCGTCTCGAGCGTTTCCGTATTTAAATACGCAGTAGCGCTTTTAGAAGATTATCTTCTCCGCAGTGTGTACGTGTCGTCGTTGTTGTAGTCGTGTCGACGTCTTCTTTTTCGTGAGACACCCGAACCGCGGCGGTTTTGCATAATTCCGCCGCTGCGGATCGGAAACACGCCACGAATCCGCCCCGTCGCCCACCCCCCGCCGCCCGTACAGTCTCGTCCCTATGACAGGGTAAAAGCGAACGTGTATCGCCGGGTATCATCGGGGGTTATGGATGGCCCGTGGACACGCTAACCTAGTGACACCTCTAGGTCAGCCCGACTGCTCGGCTCTCATCGCGATTCCAATTCGTGTTATATTTTCAGAACCGGCGCCGATTAAGGCCGCGAGGATATACATCCCTCCCTCCGCTCTCCCCTCAAAGCCCCCGTTGAGTCCCAAAAGAAGATAAATTAATAAAGACTCTGGGGGTTGAGCGCTTCTCACGCGCTGGATATCGCATAAATTTGCAGCGCGCACTGTCGACTGGATTATAATTTACGAAGCTCGGGACGTGCAAGAGAACAATTCAAGAATTCCGTGCGAACTCGAACTGCAAACGGCGCGGAAAACACTGTAACGATTTTTGAAGCAAACTCTCGAGATTACATTTCGAGAGTTTTGCGACGGATTGACGCTCGGGTTGATACGCGTTGAAGCGAAAATCCGCAACGGAGAAAAGGAAAGAGAGAGAGAGAGAGAGAGAGAGAGAGAAAGAGAAGAAGCAAACTATACGCGCGGGGAAGCAAATAACGATAATAAACGTTATCGAAATAACAAACGCATTCGACGGCGGCGGTGGCGGGTAATCCTTGACCCGATTATCCATGTAAGCGAGCCAAATATTGACCTAATCTACGGCGACTCGTGGCGCGTCCGAAGTTCGCTGCATTTTTGCGGCTCGGAGTCGTTTAAAACCAAAGGTTTACCTTCGCTCGTTAACTTCTTTGCCGTGTCTCAGTGTGTGTGTCTCTTTTTTCTTTTACACACACACACACACACACACAGAGAGAAAATTTTCAACACATTACCGTAATAAGCGGAACGGGCAGTGCGCCAAGTTCATGGAAAATTATCTCGATATTCAGCAATAGACCGATATAAATGTAGCGCATGCGTGCGTGTGTGTGTGTGTGTATGTGTGTGTGTTCTGTGAAAACATTGCGCCATGAACATTAGCAATTCTCTTCGCTTCTGCACCTCGATTATCACAGGAGTGGAAAGGGGGCGACCGGGGGCGCGCTGTAATTCTTTCCGCGATAAAGGGCGCTGATAGTATCGGGCGCGCTGCTTGATATTTGGCGGGCCCTCCCTCCTTCTCCTCCTTTCTCCTTCCTCTCCCCGACTCACTTCGAGCAATCGGAAATTCGTTCCGTTCGTGACATGCGTGATAAAACAGCGAGAAACGTGGCTGTGGAGTGTACCAGGCACCGCATCAGACACCGAGTCCTATTTTCTCCTTGCTCTCTCGGTCTCGTTTTCCTCAACCCTCCTCTGAGACTTCTCCCTGCTTTCTTTCCTCCGGTCGATCTCGCGAACACAAAGTTTTTATACATCATCCGAATACAAAGTTTTACAAATATTTTTTTTCCCCTTCCTCCGTCGACCTCTTTGAAAATCCATTTAATCGGGCGAGAGGAGAAGAAAAGCGAAGTGAAACGAAAACTCGACGCAGAAAACACACAGAATTTTCCACGATGAAAATCCTCAGCTTACGCTTTTGATTCAAATTTCCTTCTTTGTTTTAATTAGAGGAGATACATTTTTATTATTTTATTTTATTTTATTTTTTTTTATTCCCCGTAAATAAATTCTTCAGTGCGCGTTTTTAGTTTGCTTTTCTCTCACAAACGCGTTCTGCGCTCTTGCGCGCAGTTTCTTCCCTCACATATTGCTATTATTACATTCCAATTTTTCAATCGTTGAAACTAGCTCGCTCGAACGACAAAGGCGCGTGTTCGCCTTTCTCTCCGCGGTATTTTTTTTTTCTCTTCTCGGATTATTATTCGTGCGCACAATGAAACGGGTATACCGCATTTTCCCCACGTCGAGAGAGCGAGCGAGCGCACACGAGACGACACGGCTATGCGTCGCATCGCGTCGCGTCGCGTTGCGTCGCGCCGCGTCGCAGCCGCAATGCAGCGCGCCCGGCAAAGAAAAATCGTTCGGCGGCCGCCAAAACTTCGGGGTGCCTTCCTTCCGTGTCCATCCTTCCTTCCTTTTGCTTTCGCCCTCACCTCACACCGGTTGCTCCCGCGGTTGCTCTCACCGACGCAATCCCTCCTCCCTCGCACCGACACTTACAATTCGCACGAACTATTTTGTTACAATTTTTTTTTTTTTTTTTTTTTTTGACGGAAATGCGAAACCGCTGCGGATCCGAAAGAGCGAACGCAGAAGTTAACTTTGTTGTAGGAGATCGAAATCAAAATAACGAGATAAATAAATTAAATTTAAAGAACGAAGTTGCGATTTTAATGAGATTTGAACTCTTATCTCAATTTTCATGACCGACATTCTCGCAATCGTCATTCCGAGAGAGAGAGAGAGAGAGATTCTCCCGCGCCCCTTTGCGCAGGTACATTATTTCGAGAACTTCCCGCCGATTCGTATCGGTCGAAAAAGTCACGGCGACGCCGTGGAATTTGCATACGTATTATACAGTCTTGAAAAGCGGCCGCTCTCTCTCACTTAAGCACTGATTTCATCAACGCTAGGCGAACGTGACTTGGCAACTACGAGGACACTTCTGAGCGTTTATCCGCGAAATAACGTCGGCGCAACTAAATGTTCGTTCACGCTTAATGGACGATATATTTTTTTTTAATAACTTTCCGCATATTTTAGGAAGAAGGGAAGTGAGTTGAAAACAAAAACGCACACACCATACGTGCGTTTATTTCTCAACACCGTTAACTTCTTTTCCGAGAAATAAAAAAAACTATTACACGCGCGGAAAAACGCGCGTGATCTATTTTAAAACGTTCGGCGCTTCTAAAATCCCGAACGTTTTTTCGAAAGCAAATTTACAAGCGTGAATAATTCGATTCTCAATTAAATTATAAAAGAGCACTTGTAAATGGCAACGAAATAAAACGCGCGTGGATAGTTTTTTTCACCAGGTTTCAAACGCAAAATCTCGCGTGTGTGTGTCTGTGAAACATTTCCACAAAAATCCACTCGAAAGTTCTTTCGAACTTCTTTCGAGTCTCAGACGCGGTAAAAAACAAACTTTGACAAAAAAACCCAACCGCTTGTCCGTTTTCTTTCATTTTTTTTTTCCCCCGTAGAAAACTGCCGAGGGAAACAGAAAGGGACCGAAATTTCTGTTAACGAAAATGGCGGGATGGGGAAGGGAGAAGGGGTCGATTGATAAAATCGATCTCTGTCTTTCTCGGACGTCGCGCGTCTGCTGGAAAATAGTAGCCGGGGATTTGCTGAATCGAGGAAATGCATAATTGTGGAATCGAGCGTACGTGGTTCGGTCACGGCACCCCTATTTTTAGTCCGATCCTGATTGGGTGTACAAACAGAAAGCAAAGGCCACCGTCGCCGTGTGGTACCGTGTACCACCTATATACATTTATACGTATATATACATGTATATATACATATGTATGTGAGTTGCGTATAAATGCGCGCGCGCGCGCGCGCTTGCTCACGTGCGTGTGTGTGTGTGTGTATGTTCGACCAAACGTTTGCCCTCTCGTCGCATTCACACTCCGTCGCTCTCTTCTCTCATCTACCTCCGGAGGAGGGTTGGCCGCTCTCAGTTCGGCTTTTTCGTTCGTCGCAGTTAAAGTCGATTTTTGCGCTCTGCCGAGCTTCCGGTCACGAATGACCGATTCTGATGGACGTTTCCTCCTCTCGATTCGGATACGTCGTCGTCCGGTCGGCACAGTCGATTATAGATCCGGCGCTTTGTCGGTGAAAAATGTGTCGCGGATCACGTCAGAGCGAGACGTGTCTCTCTCTCTCTCTTTCTCTCTCTCGACGGAACACATGAATTATGAATAAATATCCGTCGTCGTTTTAAGAAATTAGTTCTTCGATTTTTCGGTGCCGAGCGTTTTCTCTTTTTTTTTTTTTTTTTTTTTTTTT